CACTCTGTGAGGTTGGTGAGTTCTTGACCTGTCAGGCCTTTTCTGGTTCTCAGTGAAGCTACTTGAGTCCTCCCACTCCACAGAGCTATTTCTTTTTTCTTTCCTTTTTATTTATTTATTTTTTTGTTTGAGCCTGGCCTCGAACTCACAGAGATATGCCTGCCTCTGCCTCCTGAGTGCTGGGATTAAAGGCATGTGCCAACAACCATCCTGCCACAGAGACATTTCTCTGTGCAGTTTGCAGAGTACAGAGGACCTCTGTGAACCTGATGAGCTGGAAAAGAAAGTACTGGCTTGGCTTGCTTTGCTCTCAGACCCATGAATGAGATTATGTCAAGCTGAACCACTTGAGGAAGTGTAACTTTAGAAACAGTTGATCTGGGAGATAGTTTTTACATACTATGATCTGAAAATAGTGTTGATCAGCAAGGTCTAGTAGTTGGGATTGCAATGATTTGAATAAATGAATTCCTTGAAGCCACTTCCCTTGGCTCTGTGTCTCCTCACATCTCCCCACATGTATTTCTTAGAAATAGCCCCCATAATTAATGATTCTAGCCTAAATAGTGATTGTCCATTATTTCTTGACAATTTTCCTTTTCTAAAAGCATCAAGTATTAACTGTTTCTTCGGACATCATTGTCTTGTAGATCCTAAGGTACAAATAAATTTAATAAAATGTTTGTAACATGAAAAATAAATGACCCAGAGACTGATATTGGGGTTCAAACTTCAAGCTGATGATCAGAAAAGCAAAGCAGCCTGCCACTAGCTCTCACCTCTACCTCAGACTGAATGGGCTAATCCATGCACCAATTCTCAAACCATTGCCTCTCCTCAGTGTGGCTGGAGAATGAATGCCCACAATGACTACTGAAGTCCCTGCTTCTATCTTTTATACCCCTCTAGTGCTGGGACTAAAGGTGTGTGATCTGTTACTCTTTTAGACTGATTCAATCTCATGTATCCCTGGGTAGCCTTGAACTCAGAGAGATCTGTCTACCTCTTAATCATGAGTCCTAGGATTAAAGGTGTGTACCACCACCCCACCACCACCTAACTTCTGGCTGCCAGGATTAAAGGTGTGTGCCTGGCTTCTATGACTTGTGGCTGACTTTTGGAATCTTCAGGCAAGTTTAATAAATCATAAACAATGTGTTTTCTCTTGTTGGTCAGATTAAATATTAATTAGGTCCCTAAATCAAGCCTGTAGTATGAATAATAAAAAACCCAGAGACAGATATTGGGGTTAAAGCTGAAGACCAGAGAAGCAAAGCAGTCAGCCACTAGAGAGTTCTCACCTCTACCAATGCTAAGACTGAAGGTGCAATTGTGCCCTCTGATTTCATCTCTAAAGTGCACTGCTCCTCAGACTGCTTAGATTGCAATTCATTCCTGTCTCCTCCCACCTTATATTCCTCTGTCTGCCCAGCCATATCACTTCTGTCTCCACATCCCTAGTGCTGGGATTAAAGGTGTGAACTGTTTCTCTTTACACTGATTCACTCTCACGTAGCCCAGGGTGGCTTGGAATCATAGAGATCCATCTGCCTCTGTCTCCTGAGTGCTAGGATTAAAAGTGTGTGCCACCACTGCCTGGCATCTATGGCTCTGGCTAGCTTTGCAATCTGATCTTCAGGCAAGCTTTATTAGATCATAACCAAAGTATCACCATACCAGCCACAGATCCCATCTAAGAGCTGATGGAGGTTGGAGGGGAACTCTCTCTTCTCTATTTATACCCCCAAACTGTCTTTGGACTTCATGGTTTCTTCTTCCCCTGAGCTGTTCTGGATGAACAGCATGAGATACTTTTCAGACAGAGGAGGAACTGTCCCTTCTGACTCTTCCTTTTCACAGATTCAGAAATATCTGAGTGGAGTGGGGGCGGGAACAGATTTTTAAATTTTTTATTCTGACTAAGCACATTTTATTTAAGTTTATAATTTATGCCTAGGATCCTAATAGTTTAGTGGTCAAAAGCTCAAAATCTGACTCCAGTGCTCTGTTGTGTGGATGTGACATGCTCACACAATGGTGTGGGGAAGGCAAGGGTCAGAAAGTAGTGTCAGAGACAAGGTGCTGTCGGCTAGAGCAGCCTGTTAACTGTGGTCAGGGGTGGGCCAGGTGTTTCCAGGTTCTTAGCTTCTTATTCAAGGCGTTGAAATAAAAACCAACACAGATTGCAAAATAGCAAAGAAGCTGCATTCAAAAATGAAGAGGTAGGGCAGTTCAGAGAGAACTACCCTGTTAGGAGTGACAACAAGGCCACACGATCAAGAATATTCATTATTGTTTGGGGCTTCCTTTTATGGGGTTCAAAGGAAGGGGAAGTGTGGTTACTAGGCATAATTTGGGTGGTTTTCTATTTTGAACGACTCAACAGTTTTCAAGTTGTATAACCTTTTCGATACTGAGCATGTCCTTACCTGGAATGTATCTGATTTTCATTACATGCATGCTTGATTATGAATATGTATAAGGTGGTAAGTAGAGGATTCTCTCTAAAAGTTCACTTAGAGGACAGTTTTCCTTATTGTGCATGAACTCAAAACCAGTTCAGACCTGGTCAGCTCCCCTATCTCTATATCGAGACAATACAGGAACACAATTGAACAGAATGTGCACATGTTTAATAGTTGTTACAGGGAAGAAAAACCTATTTCCTTGTTCAGAGCAGAGTGTGCATGCAAAATGATGCAGGTGGTACTTTTTTTTTTTAAAGATTTACTATTTGTGTGGGTGTGTTTCACCCACAGGTATGTGTACCACATTCATGTAGTGCCCATGGAGGCCAAAAGATGTCAGATCCCCTGGAACTTGAGTTATAAATGTTTGTAGTCACTGTATGGCAGCTGAGAATCAAACCTGGGTCCTCAGGAAGGGAAGTCAGTGCTCTTAACTGCTGAGTGGTCTCTCCAGCCCACAGTTAGGAATCTAAGTTGCTGGGTTAATGGAGATGTGCATTTGCATAGGGCATGTAAGTAAGAAACTTAGGCTGTCAAATGCACTATTTTAAGTGTGTGCACATTCCAAGCCAAGTGGAGTCTAAGGATGCTAAGCTATTCCTTATGCTTATTTACCTCATAAAGAGTTCTTTTCTGAGACCTCTACTCATGAGAAACAGGAATCTCCATTTATGCCATACAAAAAGAATTTCAGGACAAGTGAGTATGAAGCAAACTTATGTTAATAAAGGTGGACCAGAAGAGATGGTTCAGAAGTTGAGTGTTTTCTATTCTTGCAGAGGACCCAAGTTCAGTTCCCAGAACCCATGCTGGTTGTCTCACAACTGAAAACTACCTGTAATTCAATTCCAGGGAATCTGATACTTCTTGCTTTCACAGCCACCTACAATTGTTTGTAATTCCAGTTCCAGGGGGGAAGCTAAGGCCATTTGCTGTCCTGAAGTAGTTTTTAAACTCATGGCAGTTCTCCTGCTTCAACTTCCTAAGTGATGGAATTACATAAAAGTATTTAAGTGTATTGATTTAGTTATAGACATGATTTAGGTGGATTTTGAAACTACCTTTTTTTTTTAAAGATTACTTTTATTTTATGTGCATTGGTGTTTTGCCTGCATGTATGTCTGTGAAGGTGCCAGATTCCCTGGAATTGGAGCAGTTGTGAGCTACCATGTGGGTGCTGGGATTTGAACCCGGGTCCTCTTGAAGAGCAGCTAGTTCTCTTAACCACAGAGCCATCTCTTCAGCCCCAAGGTTACATTTTTTTTTCAAAGTACTTAAAATATTAAGGGCTGGAGAGATGGTTCAGAGGTTACAGGCATATACTGCTTTTGCACAAGAACAGAGTTAGATTTTCAGTGCCCAGAATGGGTGACAGCAACCACCTGTAACTCCAGCTCTCCACCTCTGACCTCATCAGGCACCTTCGATATCAGTGTTGATTTTTGTGTACGTTGTGTATGTGTGAGTATACATGTGTAAGAGCTGGGGACTGATTTTGGATGTCGTCCTCTATTGCTATTCACCCTCTTTTTTGAGACAGGGTCTTTTGGTGAGCATGGCGCTCTCATCCAGTCTGGTTGGCCCTGATACCAGGGACTCTCCTGTCCACTCCCCGAATTGTCCTCCAATGCTAGTGTTTCAGATGAGTGCTGCCACACACAGCTTGTAGGTGCTGGGATCCTAACCAAGGTCTCCATGCATACACAGCAAGCTCTTTACCCGCTTGAGTCATCTCCCTAAGCCTGTCAGTGCTCATTTTTATTATGACAAGATGCTTCACAAAATGTAAAATAATTTATTTACATTTTTGTCTGCATTTTTTTTTTATAAGTCAAGCAGTTCTGGATTCAGAGATGGATGCTTGCACAACTATGAGTCAATCTCTATTCTCTGCCCTTCACTCCCTTCACGCGTATACCATTCCGACTATTCCATCCCTGCAGCTCCCCATAGAGTACAGCATTCTTCTTCCATGAGGGTGGAGGGGGTGAGAAGGACTGGGGTAACTTCCTATGTAGAAGACTCCAATGCTCCCTCAGGTTTTTATCTACCACCCCTTCCTTTCTTTCCCTGGTTTGCCACGGGCCTTCTCTTCCAGAGTTGTTCTCCTGGCTTTGCCCTCAGAGGGCATTTGATATTCAAACCACAATTACTTTGCACCCCCAAGAACTTCATTTTAGGAATAAAGTCGCGTGGCTTAGGAGATCTGCAAGATCTCTTGGACCTTCTGGAATTAAATACTGCGCCTCTGGCTTGCTTCCTCTGGCTTTTAACAGTCTGAGTCACATTAAAGGTGGAACGGGACGATTATTTGTGGGCATGTGGGTCAGCACGTTGATCTTTCTCAGCATAGCTCCTTCATTTCAGTACAGCATTTATTTGGCAAGCGCAAAGCTCCGTCACTCGTGTTTCATTTGTACCTCGCTCTGTTTCAGGTCAGGCCCGATCTCTATGGCGTCTCTCTGTGGCGCCATCTCCCTTTGAGGAGCATCCATTTCAGGATCTGTGGCGGTCCCTTTAAGGCCCTGGAAAGGGCCGGCTGTCGGTTGGGCGGAGAGGCCTCGCCCCGTCACGTGTCCTCCGTGCCATTGGGAGGAGCCAGCGCCTCTAGGTTGCCGTCACTTCCGGCTCTCTGTCAGTCCGGGCGAGCGAGCTGGAGACTGTTGGACGGCAGGAGCGGAGCGTGAGTGCGCGGG